CTAACTAATTACCCCAGAACATGAACATCGAATCACTGAGAATTTGAACTCGTTCTGTTTTAATGTTTTGTTTAATGTATGGTACAAACTGCTTCAAAACCTGATAACTTTCAAATTTAAAGGTTATCAGGTTGTCACAATCTTCTAACCTTCTACAGATTGTAGTCATTTTTGCATTTTTTGTTGTTTCTGGCGAATGATGTTTATATACCATAATTAAGATAAAGCCCAGGGCCTAAAGCAGAAGTAAAGTGAGACATTATTTAGTTTTTGTTCAGGGCATTAGTGGGCAAACATCCTGCTTAGCAACACTGTTGTTGCTGGGATTTGGGGAAAAGGGGAAGTGGGGCACTGGGTCAGGGTCAAGGGTTCAGCCGTAACCTTGGGGGCTGACAGATCTAAATTCTGTTACCGGCTGCACTTCATGCATGGCTAATGTGGTGCACTGTCCCTTTAATTACGGCTGACCTCCTACAGAGTAAGTGGTAATGTGAAGACGGAGCCCCTCATGATCTAAGACAGAGGGAGCGGTGGGGTCGGTTCAATTAAAAAAAATTAACTACTATGAACTCGCTAATCACATCAGTCCACAGTGGCTAAGACCTCTGAGGGGGAACGTAAAATTTGTATTGGACGAGCAGAAGAATGGAAACAAAACCATAAACAACAGCAGCAACACTGCTGCGCTGAAGTTTTAAGACCAAGAAAAAAAAAAAAGAAACACCCAAACTGGCATATTTTCCAACAATTAGACATCACCCATTAAGAAAACACAATGGGCTGTGAGGTAATGGTCGACACGAAGGTTATGAGGGACAATAAAAGTCTAAATGTGGAGGAGCTCTGCAAAAACCTAATGCTTCTTCAGCTTTAAAGTACAATCATGAACATCCAGTTCACGGCTCTACGTCCTTTTCCTGCTTCTACAAACCCTTCAGTTCTGTTACAGGTAAACACTGCAAGCTAATGCAGAGGAGTGAGGAGCAACAAAGCAAAATAATTATAATAATTTTCTTTTTGTTTCGCGGTGATTAGTGAATTTATTTCCTTTGGTCAATGACAAGTTTTGAACTACAGTTCAGTGTTTAGATTAAACTTGAGGTTTGAAGCAAATAGTTTTGAATGTGATGAGGTGAAAATGTTCCTTTATTTTTAAATAAAAACAATTGAAACTAAAAGAATTTCATGAACCAAGTTTTGTGTTTAGACAATTAAAGACAATTAAATCTGGTTTTCTTGGGGTTTGTTTTATTTTAATTATCACAGGCGAGTAACTCTAAATTTAGAAACCTGTAAAAGCCTATTGAAGGAGAAGGTGTGTTTTAACAAGGATATCTGAAATATCAGGTCTGCTTTCTCTTCCTTTTGCATATAAAATTTTGAAGGACTGGAGTCACTATAAAGTCAGACAAGAGCTGCTGACGATCAGGTACACGCTCCTGACGTGGAGCTGTGGAGGCGGTCTGTGTTTGTCTATCCTCCACTCAGGAACATGTGGTTTTAGTTACAGAATGTTTTACTGCTCAACAATGTTTCTGCCTTAGAGCTCGGCACGCTGCATAAAGACTACTTTGTCCCCTGATGCCCACACGGGAAGAGTCTGCCTTACGCCTATACACACCCACACACACACACACACACGCACACACACCCACACACACCCACACACGCGCACACACACACACACACAGGGTGATGATGACATCACCAGGGACACTGTGCCAGTGTCGATAAATGTGCTATTCTCCCCTGGATGGAAACATTTTAAAGGGGGATTGCCCTCTTTTAGCTCCTTCTCAAAGGTACAGTCATTTTTTCATGTACTAGTAATATCTCCTGAGATGTACAGTTTACAGGACATTGCTTCAAAGTGAATAATAAAAACAAATATAATATTCTTTGTCATTTTAAAGGCCAAATAATACAGAGATTGAGATGGTTTTGAACGGAAAAGTTAAAGTGTAAATTAGAGCCAAACAAAGACGACATGAAAGAATGTCAAACTATAAACCAAACCGTAGAACACTTCTACAGAATCTACCTCTGAAAAAGATATTTCCTGCACTGTTTTACCACTACACCTTAAAAAAAAAACATCCATCCAAACCAGACATCTGACAGATGGTTTACTGGATAAAAGTAATAGGTCATGCCATGTGCCATGTGCACAACCCTGAGACTAAAAAAAGATGTGACACAAATTATTTCATTAAAAAAAGAACCTTAAAAAAGAGCAAATAAAACCCAGCTTTTTAACAACGGAACCTCATCAACCAACACTGCAGAAACAATGATGTGAATAAAGGTCTAAAGATTGACAAGTGACCACGTAATTGACACCAGCCTGACATCGCACCAGCAGCTCTCTCCAGTCAATGTCGTCTTTTGCTCGAATAAAATGTGGCTCTGATCTGCTGGCTGTGTTTGGAGGAGGTGATTAACACACCCTGAAGTGTAAAATGTGGGCAAGTTGGATGGAAGGATGTCTGGCATGAAGTCACCGGGACTGTCACCTGGCACACTTGAATCCTAAAAACCAAATGGGTGCTAAACACTGGTCATATGCACTGACAAAGTCAGTGCAGAGGGGCCACTTAACAGCTTCTGAGCTGCCTGTGTTATGTTCAAACTCCATTTCCCAGCAGCAGTGCTGCCACAGCCAACAAGCCCTGACTAATACCACAGCGGTGGCACAAAGGAGCACATATATGCACAGTTGATTTTTGCCTTGCCGAGAAATTTAAAATACAAAAGAAAAAGGGAGGGAATGCATCAGCCATGTGTCCAGCTTCAGCGTCCATCACACCATCCATCTCACACCCAGAGGCCAACAACACATTTAGCATTCGGTAGCCTTCTGAGCTTGCACACGGAAACAGATGGACAAGGGTCAATGCGGAGCCACAGAGCATCGTCCAGGAATTATTCAAAGTGCCAAAGAACACCTCATCACAGCACACGGAAGACCGAAAGGTTACAGTTGTTAAACATTACTGCCCGCCAAGTTCATACCTGCTGGTGTCTCAAGCAGCAAAGGCTCTAACAAAGACTGTTTAATGTCAACAATGTGTTTTTCATTTAAGTTGTGACTAAATATGTTTCTATCACATTCATTAAGCATTAGTTTAATTCTCAGACATAATTATGCAAATTAGCATAAAACGTTTTTTTTTATTATGTTGCTTAATTGCTTAATTCAGTTATAAAGTTTAAATAGACGTTAAATGAGTACATCCAGTACAGTCCATCCAATCCTGTATTTCATTCACAGTCTTTGACCTCGGTCAAAATCCAGAGAGGTCTCGCTCAAATTGTCTGATAACCCGATGGTACGTACTTTTGCAGGACGTAACAGAGCCATAAAGCGGTGATATGTCGCCATCTTGTGGTAAAACAAAAACATTTAAACACGCTGGCAGCCTCGGCCAGGTTATATACTGTACTGTGTTCTAAAACTCATTCACGTTGTACAGTAACAGATCGCACATCACAATGCAGTTCAATGAAATTAATAGTCTTACCTTTCTTCATGAACTCAGCCACGGATATGAGACGTGACCTAGAATAACAATAAACACAGCACTGTCAGTTTTGGTTTCAGGAATTATTCAGTAATTAAATGTAAAATCTTTTAAAATATGTGTGTGTGTGTGTATGCGTCATAAAGGGTGCACAAGTGTTAAATTCCTGTTTGTGAGTTAACCTCATCATGAACTCAGATTTAAGATACAAATAAGCCTTCATGTTTTAAACAACAGGAAATAGCCCTTTAAATTATTGTATTTTGGTTTGTTTGTTTTCATAATTCAGTAACCCCACTACGCCCTCACCCCCCACTTTGGAAATCTGACGAAGAATAAACCCTCTACACATGTTATTGTATAAATAACGTTCAAGGTTATTATTGTTGTTATTATTATAATCCAACTAATGTAAACAGCAGAAACTGTAACCGTTAGTGTTCTTGTTCAAACACTCAGCTTTAATAGTCTCTCCGTTCAAATGTCAAATATTTGTTTTGGTTAGAAACTTGTGCCAGCTGTTTATATATACAATTTTTAAAAACACAAAGCTGTCAAACTGCGGTGCAAAGAGTAAATGATATAGATAATATGATACATTAATAGACTGGATACAAAAATCAAACTATTAAAATGTTTGTTTTCACAAGACTCAAACCACTTGACCAAAATAGCTAACAAAGATAACAAAATAACTTACAGCATCTCTGATAAAGTCGATAGTGATAAAGGCATTGGCTAGAACAACTCCTATTCCTTTAAATAATTGTATTTTAACATGTATTCTACCTCTATTACCGAAACTGTACGTAAGGACAAATAAAAAGACGAACGCCACCTTTTCCTTTCCGGACACACCGGCATGTTTTCTGACACAAGAGCACCTTCCGGTTAGTGTTCCAAGCCGGAACTCCATGGTCCGTTGTAGTCTTACAGTTTTAATATTGTCATCTCGTTGTTTTTGTTTTCACACTTCATCTTATAATGTTATAATAATAACTGCTGTCACACCCGTGTCCTCAGTCTTCACTCCTGTGTTTGCAGTTCTCCCCGTTAACCGGTACCTGCCGTCATGTGACACACCTGTGTCTTATCCCCTCATCAGTCCGTTTTTCAACAGTGTCGGCTGTCAGTGTTAATATGTGACAGATTTTAAGACTTATTTACGTTAGTATTATCACTACCACCTCTGTAGAACCTCCGGGATGAATCATAAATATGAATAAATTATACATCTTATTGAGTATAACCAATAATACATGCACTGAAAGCACAAACCAGCAGGGCTACAATAAATAATAAAGTATTAATCAAATTTCTATACAAATTTGTGTTGTCTTGTTTACCGAGAGGTGGGGGGGACATACTTAGTTTGATATTTATATTTAAGATATTATGTACTTGCATTGGAATGATACACTTTAATGTGGTGTTTTCACTTTTAATGATTGACCAACACACAATCAACAACAAAGGAGACAGTTTTAGCCACAGTTGTCTTTATTTGACGTCCAGTGACTATAATACTGACAACGGCTCAAGTCTTTAGTTTGAAGCCATCACCTAGAAAAGAGGAAACAGTTTCGTCAGACATAGGAGTGGAATTGTGTAAACGTTCCGTTTATGTGGTAGAGCTAAAATATTACAGTTTAAACAACTAATTTGTCATTGTTTTTACACTTACGTTGCTCATCCAAGAGCTGTAGGCGCTGACCCTGGTGAAGACAGAAGGCTTCTTAGGATAGTTGCAGCCCATGCTTGAGCCAAAGCTGACCACACCGTGGACAGACCAGGAGCCATCATCGTTCTTGCAGTTCAGAGGACCACCAGAGTCTCCCTGGGAGATAAAGGCACCGCCATGAAGGATTAGACAATGAAAAAGGCATGAATACAGATTTAACATATTTAAAGATAAACTAAAATGAGTCAGATCTCACGTTGCAGCTGGCCAGCTGTCCATCTCCTCCAGCACAGATCATGCTGGTGGTGACCAGACTGCCCCACCAGTCAGACCTGCTGCAGGTGGAGTGGCCGATAACAGGGAGGAGGGCCTGCTGCAGGACGTCAGCAAGAGGACCTCCAGCTGCAGAGGACAACACAGCATCAATATTAATACCATAATGTTTCTCTGTAAACGTTAGCTATTTTATACAGAATCTGGGATGTTCCCATCACTCACTCCACAGACGACCCCAGCCAGTCACGTAGCAGGGAGAGCCATGGGACAGCACTTCACCAGAGTCGGGAAGACAGGCAGGCATAATGGAGTTGGAGTAGGTGACGGGAGTAGAGAGCTTGATCAGGGCAATATCATTGCTGAAGTGGAAACACAACATTTAGAGCAGTGATTCTCAAACTGTGGTACGAGCGCTTTCTAGTGGAACGTGGGGAAAACCATGCACAATTAATACAACGTTTAGCCAAAATGTGTAGCTACTTGTGAGATTATGAAAAAGGAAGCTAATAGGGAAGGTCTATGTTGCTATATTCTAATGTTGGTCATCATGGTGGTACTCAGAGAGATCAGTGTTTTCTCAGGTGGTACAGAGTACAAAAAGGTTGAGAGCCACTGATTTAGAGGATGTGATATAACACAGCATGTTGTAGCCCTAAAATGTTGTACTGTTATAGCAGAGCTCACCGGATTCTGTAGGAGTCCCAGTTGGGGTGGACAACAATCTTGGAGGGGCTGATGGCGATGGAACCAGGTTCGTTGTTGTTCTTCAGATTGTGTTTTCCCAAATAGACTCTGTAGGTGCGGCTTCTGCTCGGTCAAAAAAAAGGACAAAGTATATAAAAAGAAATGGTGGCCAGTGGATTAGAGTTGATACTTTTTGTTTCATCACAGTTTTTTTTTTTTTTGCTTTTTGCTTTCTTGCGAGTCGTACCCGATGCAGTGAGCAGCAGTGAGGACCCACTGGCTGGAGATCAGAGTGCCACCGCAGGTGTGGTAAAAGTTGGAGCCGCTCTGGTACTGCAGAGAAACCTGAAGATGGCGAAGGACACATTAATATTGAATGAATATTGAAATGAATGGAAAGGAACGACGTAAAGACTTTAAAAACAAAAACAAAAGTCTACCTGCCAGGGCCAGCTGCTCTCACGGACATCATCTCCACCAACCACCCTGCTGAGGATGGGTTGGTAGGTGGGATTACCGCACCCGTAGGCTGTGATACAAAATCACAGAACATAACAGTAACTCATAATCAGCAACACTATTACTTAAAAATAACAGTTTGAATTGAATATAAAGCGTAGTTTTAAGCCTTTGGAACTTACCGCCAGCAACGAACAAAGCCAAGATCAGAAACTTCATAGTGTCTCTCTTCTGCAGAACTTCTGGAGTTAGTCCTTATATAGGTACTTTGATCAACTAGGACGGCTTATATAACATGCTGCATTACTGCCAGGAAAGTACTTGGAAAAATAAATGGATAATGGAGATAAGAGAAGGTATGAGAAGCTGCCACATGTCACACAGTGACCTGAGTTGGTCAGGGCGTTTGAGTCAAATCTAGGTTAAAACCAATGGAAGATTTAAAAATAAAAAATATTTATAATAATAATATATAATATTATAATAATATTTCTTGCACAGTAATCTGCACCCTTTTTTTAACTTTAGAGACTTTTTTCTTTGGGAACAAAAGTAAAACCTGTTTGAAGTACTTTCCTGGATTTAGTTTTTTTTTTTTTTATTGTGTTTTTCTGATTGACTGTGTTAAAATTATTTTATTGACATACTGGAAATCATGTGACTAAATGACTGGTCTGGTCTGTTGAGCAACAACAGAAGAGTATCATCTGCAAAAGGCTTTAACTAAAAGGCTAAAACACAAAAATGACTGAGAAACAGAAACACAAATCAGTGTAAAACCTTTATTGAAATGTCAAGTGCAACTGTCCACAGTTACACAAACTGGTCCAACTTATTTAGTTTCTGGTCACAACCTGCAAAAACATTATAAAAATGTATATTATATGAGACAATGTCATTTTTTGAATTTGAATCTTCCAATTCCTCACTTAAGTAGACTGAGACTGTGGCAGTCCTCATAATACTATTTTCAACCAAAGGTCTGCCTATTTTTTCTTTTTTTTTTTAAGTATAGTTTGTTAGTCTTACCCACTTTTAATCAGGTGTTAACCTGGCCAAAGTAGCAGCCAATCAGAACAGAATACAGAAAAAAAAATCACACAATCACACAATACAGTTAAAACATAGCAGCCTCTCAAAAATAAGCACATCTGTCTGTCACTATATTATTTATGACACTCTTGAACACGCTTTTTTGGTGAGTTTTTTCCATTTAGCTTGTAAAGAACTGATGTCTGTGAATTCAGAGAAGCCATAAACAGAACACACATCTTAATAATGTAAGATTCGTTGTGTTTCCGCTTACAGTGTTGATCCAGGAGATGTAGGCACTGACACGGGTGAAGATAGTGGGCTTCCTGCGATAATTACAGCCCAAGCTTGAGCCAAAGCTAACCACACCATGGACTTCCCATGAGCCACTGCTACTTTGGCAGCTCAGAGGGCCACCAGAGTCTCCCTACATGGTCAAATATGGGCACATCTGGGTTTTAGACAAGAACTACATTTAGACTCTGGGTGTAAAATAGAAATGAACAAACTCAGTCTCACGCTGCAGCCGCCCTTCTCTCCATCTCCGCCTGCACAGACCATATTGTTGGTGACCAGGTTGTTGCCCCACCAATCGGGGCTGATGCAGGTGGGGTAGTCAACCACAGGGAGCAGGGCCTGCTGCAGCATGTTCGCAGAAGGTCCAATAGCTTACAAAAAAAAAAAAGAAAACAGCCAGAGAAGAGATGTTCAAACAACTACATGTATAATAAAGTCCATTCTAAAGACAGTTGTACTCACTTTCAATCCTCCCCCAGCCCGTTACGTAGCAGGGGTAGTTGTGGGGCAGGATTTTACCCAGGTCAGGGAGGCAGGCAGGTTTGACAGTGTGAGAGAAGGTGATAGGATTTGGCAGCTTGATGAGGGCAATGTCATTACTGACACAGCAAGATATTAGGAGATAAAAAAAACAGATTAACAAGTGTACGGATGAAGTTATAGCAGATATTTCATGGGTTGTTGTTATTTCTGGGTTCACCACAGTTTCTGTCTGTCCCAGTCCTCATGGACAACTATCTTGGCAGGACTGAAGGAGATGGAGCCAGCTTCACTGTAGTCCTTCTGGTTGTGTTTTCCCAGATAGACCCTGTAGGTGCGGCTGCTGCTCGACAACAGAAGTGAGTGGATGAATGTGTGAGTGAGTAAGTGAGATAAGAATCAGTAACTAAGGAAATTACATTTAAAACTGTGGATGTAGTTGTTTCATCTTCCACAGGTCTTATTTGACTTTACTCAAAATGTTCTATATTTATCGTATTCAGAACTGAAAATTTACATAAAGTCAGATTCACATATGTACAGTACTACACAAAACAATTCGCATAAATTATCTATGGAGTACATGTGTTGTCATCAGTGTTGTAAAATGGCATAAAACCTTATTATGATTATCATTAATGCATCACTATTATCATAGTGTCTGTTAATGCGGCGCCTTAATTCAACCAAGGCTAAACTTTGTGACCATGTTTGTTTCAACTCGAAGTCACAACAGCAGGACACCCACACAGTGTCTTTCCTGTCGTTCTCTAATATTCCTGAATCATAAGGAAGACTTACCCAATGCAGTGAGCAGCCGTAATGATCCACTGGTTGGAGATTAGAGTCCCACCACAGGTGTGGTAGAACCTGCCACTGGTTTCGCCCTTAAACTGCAGAGATACCTGAGAACAAGAAACAGACGCAGCTAACGTGTTTATCACAGATGGAGATCACAGAAGACAAACAGTTGAAGTTATTCACCTGCCAGGGCCAACTGTGAGGCTTGGCATCGACTCCCCCAACCACTCTGTTCAGTGCTGGAGGGAACGTTGGCAGCCCACATCCACAGGCTGTGAAAAAAAGAGACAAAGAAAATAAAAGGTCATGCCATAATTTCATTAACTGACCTCAGTCTAATTGAGCTTTGAGGTAAGGCAAAGGAAAGCAACGTTTGACTTGTGTGAACCATAACTGTATGCAAAACATCAGAGTTTGTCATTCTTACCACCAGAGACAAACAAAGCCAAGAGAAGAAACTCCATGGTGACGAGGAGAGGACCAGGGAAACCTGCACGGTTTTATATGATGCTAAAAACAACTCAGACTCAGACATATTACATAACATCTATAAAACATAGCACATAGATACAGTAGCCAGGGAAAAACCTTGTAGATATGCAACTTCCCAAATGCACAGGTCAACCACATCAGTCTGTGTGAAACTGACAGCTGTCTCATTTCACCAGGATCAGAGAACTACAGTATATACTGTGGAGATTTGTGACACTAGGGGCTTTGTGAAAATGAAAAAAAAAAAAGAAGAAAAACACAAAAAGACCATAGATGTAAATAATAAATATTTATATTTTTTTCACCCTAACCTGTTTTTCTCCTATTCACTTATATATCCATATATGAATGGCAGTTTTTTTGCACATTTTTTTTTAAATTTTCCAGGATGTATTTTGAGATAAGTACTGAAAACAAGGAGAAAAGAAAACAAGAAAATTCACATTACCCTATGGCCATAACGTCATCAACTCAGCTCCACCTACTGACCAAATTTGTCCAAGGCAAACAACCAAGTGTTAGGCATCATTTCTGAAGGTTGCATAACAGAACCATACATATAAATGTGGGTTACAGTGAGAGCTGTGTGCTTACAGACATGATCAAGTTTGTGGTTCTCGCTCTCTTTGTGGCTGGTGGTACGTTTTTAATGCTGTAGCTCCAAACACAGAGAGTCCGTCAACCTTTTTACATGTTTGTTCTTTTGTTGACGTGTTTCTGTTCATTTCCTCAGCCTACGGGTGCGGTCTCCCCACATTCACCCCAGTTGTGAGCAGGGTGGTTGGAGGAGAAGATGTCAGGCCTCACAGCTGGCCATGGCAGGTAAAAAAGACAGAATTTGTTATGCACATTAAAAAATATTAAATATAAAAACTGGTAAAATGTCAAAATAAAATCTTAGGTTTCATGATTTTAAGAATAAAATCTGTTGATGGTATGTTTCAGATTTCCTTGCAGTATAACAGAGAAGGTGAGTGGAGACACACCTGTGGAGGAACACTGATCTCCCACCAGTGGGTCCTCACTGCTGCCCACTGTATCAGGTAAATTGTTATTATTATTATTATTATTATCCTATATTTAACATATTAATAATTATTATAATCATTATTTTACTGGACCTTTTCTGTGAACAGCACAGGCAGACAGTACAGAGTAGCCCTGGGAAAGCATAACCTGGTGGAGACAGAGGAGAGAGCTGTCTTTGCTGACACTGCCAACATTATTGTGCATGAGAACTGGAATCCCTTCTTTATCCGGTAAAATAATAACTATATGGAAAAGGAAAAAACACATTTAGAAAGTAATTCCGATGTATGATTCAGACTAAATCTTCTACAGTAATGACATCGCCCTGATCAAACTGGAGTCTCCTGTCACCTTCACTGACTCCATCATGGCTGCTTGTATTCCTAAGTCTGGTTTCGTTCTGCCCCACAATGAGCCCTGCTACGTCACTGGATGGGGTCGCCTCTACAGTGAGTGTGTACAGAAGTTGAAACCTATTATTTATGATATTATATTCTAAATAACAAATACACCTGTTAGAAACCCCTATAATAAACATCGACTAATGGTTTCCTGGTATGTCACATGGTCATATTGGACAGTGTTCAGTTCGAGTTTGACATGAAAAACAATCTAAATCATCAGTATAAATTTCTCTTCCACTCAGCTGGAGGTCCCATCGCTGACATCCTGCAGCAGGCTCTCCTCCCCGTGGTGGACCACGCCACCTGCAGCAAATCTGACTGGTGGGGCTTCCAGGTGAAGGAGACCATGGTCTGTGCAGGTGGAGACGGAGTGATGTCTGGGTGTAATGTGAGTCTATAATCAGTCTTTTACAATTTATTAACCACGTTTTGACCAGGTTTAAGCCTGTGAAGTGTGTAGTTTGAGAACAGGAACGGGGATCATTCATGTGGAACCTTTTAGAGCAAATGTTTCTCTCACTCAGGGAGACTCCGGCGGCCCTCTGAACTGTAAGAATGCTGATGGTGCCTGGGAGGTCCACGGTGTCGTCAGCTTTGGCTCAGGCATCAAATGCAACCTGGCAAAGAAGCCCACCGTCTTCACCAGAGTCAGCTCCTACGTCGACTGGATCAGTGCTGTAAGTTACGGAACTTTAGGAACCTTGTCATTCATTCTGGCCTCAGAAATTAACTCAAAATATTCAGTGTCTCTTGTTAAAACTTAAAGAAAAAAGCAAAAATATAATAAAAATACAATAGAACTTCTTCGAGGATGTTTTGACTGAATGTATTTTTTTTTCTCTACAGAAAATGGTGGCCTACTGAGCAGAGGGAGGGAAAAATGAGAGAAAACATGGACATGAATAAAATTTGGAAAATAAATTTAATTTAAATTGTTTTTCTTTTGTTTTTCCCATACAATATTCAAGTAACTACAGCCGACTGATCAAAAAGCAGGAAAATGACGAGGAATATTCCATAACTTTTTTCACATTTGTACAAAATGTTGTCTTTTTATGTTAAGACCTTTCCTAGGAGTTTTCCTCTGTTTAACAAAAACAACTCAGGGAAAAAGATAAGAGTGCCCATGTGTTGTTTCTGACACCTGTTTGACTCTCTGTGAGTCGATAATCCAAATACAACCCCACTGTATAAAAACAAACCTGAGCCCTAACGTAGGCTTTTGACTGGACACAATCATGAGGAGGTTTGTTTTGCTCTTATTCGTAGCAGCTTCTGGTAAGAAACTCAAATATATTTCACCTACAACATACGTACGGCATACTAAATTCTACCCTGTTTGCTTAGTGCACATCATGAACACTGATTAATCCTTACATGAAGATTATTTCACTAACTCTATGACTTTTTCTCATTTTTAATAATAAATCATGTTTCTTGAATGTTTCTTTATCTCTATCATAACTATGAATCCTGTCAAATAAAATAATTCAGGTGTAAATGCTATGACTACCACTAAGACAGCTCCTTTGGACAAAATATGCTCAGATTAATGCTTTATTTGAAACAATCACTTCTATCTGTGTGCCAGCGTATAGCTGTGGCGTTCCCACGGTACCCCCAGTGGTCAACAGAGTAGTTGCAGGTGAGGACGTTAAACCTCACAGTTGGCCCTGGCAGGTAAGGTTTCATAAAAAAAAGTTGGAAAACCTAGGATCAACCTTGACAAAAAATTTAACAGATTAAACTTGATAAATATTATCAGATAAATCTTAAAAAAAAGAAAAAATAATAATTTCCTGTTTTCCTGCTCTGTCAAGGTCTCACTGCAATACGCCAGCAGTGGGCGCTGGAGGCACGTGTGTGGAGGAACACTCGTCTCCTCTAACTGGGTCCTGACCGCTGCTCATTGTATCAAGTAATAAGAAATAACGGGATCTTGTTTTTTAAGATAACTGATTGATTTTATTACTCCAAATAATCCGGTGTATTCTTTGTTTACTACTTCACAAAAAAATGAAACACGAAAAAAAAAAGCTAAATAAATAGGCTACATGGCCAGACGCAAATACACAGTACTTTTTTAGCAGTTAATAATAAATTAAAGAAGAGTGTTTGGATAACAGTGTTTTCATTTTAGTCCATAGCAGAAAAATCATCAGTAATGAAAGGACCATGTCACCTGTATGATTGAATAATTGAAATTTCTATGAAAGTACAGTTTAATATACCAATCACAGTCAAGGAGCACTGTTTTTTGATGATCATATATATTATTATATCTTTTTCAGAACGAAAGACATAATTCAGACATCAATCTTTAAGATTAGGGTAGAATATTGAAATCCCAGAGGTAACACTATGTCATCTGATGTCCTGTAGTGAGCGCTACACCTACAGAGTGGAGTTGGGTAAACACAGTCTGAAGGCCAGTGAGGACGGTTCAGTTTCTCTCACGGCAGCAGAGATCATCACACATGAGGACTACAACATCTTTCTCAGCCGGTACTACTGTAGCAACAGCAGCAAACGCAGCTCAACATCACCTCCGGTGGCTAATGAAGGAAGTGTGACATGAATGTTACTGTTTGGACTTTTACAGAAATGACATTGCCCTCATCAAGTTATCGTCCCCTGTCACCTTATCGGACACCATCTCACCTGCCTGTCTTCCAGAGGAGGATGTCACTCTGGCCCATGGTTCTCCCTGCTACGTCACTGGCTGGGGTCGACTCTACAGTGGGTCACTGCAAAAAAACAAAGAAAACAATTGACCAATACATACCAAACAAATGAAACATTTAAAAGAAAAAAAGATTAATTTTGAAAAGTAGTGAAGTATAGCAGCGAAACCTGATCCTGGATCTGACCTGATCCGGGCATTTCTTTCTCACAGCTGACGGCCCTCTGGCTGACGTCCTGCAGCAGGGTCTTTTGCCAGTTGTTGGCCACGATATCTGCTCTCAGGACGACTGGTGGAGTGTCCTGGCAACGGACAAGATGGTCTGTGCTGGTGGAGGTGGTATCACAGCAGGTTGTAATGTGAGTTAAAGAAAGGATCACATCCTCAGTTAGTTACAGCAGATCATTTGGTACCAGGCTACAGGAAAAACTAATAATTTGTAATGTGAAAATGTACACATTCAATTCTATAGTGTGACTCTGTAAATGCATGTACTGACCTACAGGGGGACTCTGGTGGACCTCTAAATTGCCAGAACACAGATGGATCCTGGGACGTCCATGGCGTTGTGAGCTTTGGCTCTGGTCAAGGTTGTAACGTTGTCCAGAAACCCACAGTCTTCACTAAAGTCAGCTCCTACATCAGCTGGATCAACACAGTGAGGATCATGTTATTTAAAAAGGGACAATGTGGGTGGGGCGGGGGGGGCAGAGTGGGCAGGGGTTTGTGCTCTTGCCTTACAAAAGGATCAACAGTTTGAGCCTGGTGATAACTGATGGTCGTTCAGTATGCAGGTTCCTCCCACAGTACACAGTGTTGGTTTAATAGGACACAGTACAGATAAGAATTTGACAGTGAACAGCTGTTTGTCTCATACAGTAAATACCTGTCCGACCACGGGCTGAGAAACTGTCCTGTCTTTAGCCAGGACATGGTACACGTGACCCTGAAAGAGATTTATCTAATTAATAAATAACACCAAAAGACATTGTTCATACCTGAAGGAAGGACATTCAATAACCTTGTTCTCTCTTGTTTTCTCTGCAGGTCATGACCAACTACTGAAAAAGAATACTACCAGAGAACGACAGTGTTTTTTTCTCAATTATTCTTTGGCTGCAGTTTCTACACTTTCGAGGATTAAATACTTTAAAAACAGTAAATTAGTTATGACATAACACATTATAAAAATACACTAACCATTCACCCAGTTAATTAGTAAACACTCTCTTTTTATTTAGCATAAAATACATATTGTATAAAACAGATTTTCACCCTTTGGAAAAACGAATATCAATGTTCTGTTAGAAAAGTACAGCTTCACAGTACATGTAAAATAATAGTTTAAAAAAAGGTTTGTGTTCAGACTTTGACACCACGAATGACTTGATGTCCAATACTAAAACAATGTCACTGATCAGACCCTATTTGAATTTATGGCTAGGCAACTGTTTTAAATGTCACATTGACTAAACAATTTCCTGAAACTGAGCCATGATGTCACTTATGGAAAATGTTCTCCAAACAAATAGGAAACAGTTTAAGTCAAATTGAAATGTTTACATACAAATAATAAATAAAGCTTTGCAGAGAAGCCAATCCAGCAGAAGAGGAAATACGAAGTAGACTGTCAATAAAAAATACTAAAACATGACAGGATTTATATAAAAAAGAAATGTGCTGGAATGTGATGAGCATGTGAGTGAGTAATAGCTGCAGTTACTAAGGAACAGCTGCAAAGTCAATGAATCCCTCTGTTGGTCATTTGGATTAAGGGCCAGGGCAGGGAGAAGAGAGAGGAGCAGAGGCAACAGTAGTGCTTTCACAGCTCCACAGTGTTCACCATGGCTACAGCCAAGAGACTTTCAACTATCCACAATGACTCTTCCTTCATGTTCTTCTGTTTCTTTATTCACTGTTCACCAAAACTAAAATAACCTGCTGTGGAGGAGCAAGTCGGTACAGTCCAGAGAAGTGCTTCAGGCAGGTGCAACAGTGCAGCACTGGACGCATTTAGCTGCACGCTAATGGGCACAAATGGAGTGCGGCAACACTGTGCAGCAGAGTAGTTATTAAGCATTACCATATTGAAAGAACAAAAAAGACTTTGAGCTTCCTGGAAAACTGTCAAATGAGTACATTTAACAATGGGCTTTTCAGATACCTAGAAATATGCCTCCTGAGAAATGCTATTTTCAGCCTGCAGCTGTTTGTGCTTGATTTGTTATCTGGTTTTATGCAATAATGGAGAAACATCTAATTAAATGTAACTGATATTTATATAAATGATTGATAATACCTCCTGTTTATATTTAGTTATTTATTTTGGTTGTGGAACAGAGGTCCTCCATGTTATTGCCATATTCAAAATATCATTATATATATTATGCAAGATGAACACTATGTTGGCTCATATGTATTTTGATTGTTACGTTTGTTATGAGTGTTACATTTTAAAGAACTTACAAGAATTCCCAATTCATTATTTCACTCAACCACCGGAAGCATTTAACTGCACTAATGCTTTTGAAAACAAAGCACTGACGACAGCCATGTTTGGAGAGGTACTTATTAATGGCCAAATGTTTTATAACTCTTTGTTAAAATTGATATTAAAATTAAGATGCAGTGTTGTACATTCCATTTTAAAAAAATATTACATAAATAGGTGTGTAAAAAAAACACAGTAGACAAAAATATAAAACTGACAACCTGGACCAAAGGTACTGGGGCAGGTCAGCACAAATACTGTTGACAGTGTAGAGGAGTGTTTCTGAAGCACATGTCAGGTTAGGCCAGGTGAACAAATGCAACGTCACATACCGTTAGTAAACCAGTAGCAGTGATAGGGAAGAAATCTCAGGGTGTACCATTTCCTCCCCTGTGGTGTGTGTCTGTGAATCTACTTTACAAATGACCAGCACGCTGTTTGTTTGCACGCAAATAACATGATTGCACATTAATGTAATGTGATCATCGCCCACTTATGTACACACAGTGAGGATCAGATACAGCCACCGTGAAATAAGAGAGCCATGACACCATATCTGCTTCAGACATCCAGTCAGTTTCCAAAGTTTAACAAAGTAAATGTAGATTTAGCGTTAAATATAAAAGTGCCTAAAACAGATAAAAAGCCATCCGGGTCCTGGCTTAATAAGATCCAGATCCTCACAATGACATCATGGTGTCATCATGGCAGATTGCAGGAGTTAGAGAAGTTTTTAAAACATAATCAGCTGGATGTTAGTGGTGGCTCTTTTTCCTCGTACTGTGGCGGTGGAGTAAGTGGTTCTACACTGATCCCAGCATCTGGATGCGAGTTATCAACATTTTTTATGTGAAGTTTTTCTGATTTAATCCTGCGAATCTTGATAGAGAGAAGCTTTCGGCTGTTTTTTCCTGGTTTACGGTTCGATGCTGGGGCTGTGGCGGCGGCAGCAGCAGCAGCACCGGTGGAACCACTGAGAGCTGGAGCAGGTGAGTTTGGTCCACCAGATGTGGGGTCTGTGCCTTCATGTTCAAGATGTACTCCATCACGTTCAACCAGATCATCGTAAGAGGGCAGATGGAAGGAGCCGGAACGGTGGTTGCTCTCAGTAACAGGGTACTGACCACTGCCAACTGCCTCTTCATAGCTTGGTACAGCGTACCTCTGGGCTTGTTCTTCAGCACTACATTGAAAAGAACAAAACATGGATTTTTGTAATGTTAATTTCATCTCTACCCTAAGGTCTGTCTGACCTCTGTGTCATGGTATAAACCTTACAGCTCCTCGTTAGGCTAAGGACTGGTTTCTGTTGATTGTTTTATGTCTTTTTTCAATTCCTACTAATATATATAAGCTTTGTGTTTAACTAAACAGGGCCAGGTCTCACATTGAGTAATTAAATTGTGAGTAATGGAAACTAGAAGAACATTATACCTGGTTCAATATAGAATTTGTGACTTTCTTGTTCAGTGGTGTGCAGTGGGACTTTTCTAATGTAAAATACATGCTGTGGCTCACAAAGGGTTGGGAAACATTGTGCTAAACATTTGGCAAATATCATCACAGACTATGATTTGTAGAAACAACTAAACTGAAAAGTTGTAATTTATTGTCACCAACACTGTATTACTACTGTATTATTGTAGTACTCATGCTCCTGCCAGAGCTTGTGCAATCGCTCCTCAATTTCTGTGGTTTGCTTTGATAGCACTTGCTAATGGGTTTGTAATCATTTAGATATTCTGGTTACTTCCTATTTCTGACTATTTTCTGTGTTTACATATTCTGTGTCTCTGAGTATAAGAAACATAGATTTGAAGGCTTTGTGATAGTTGAGGTCAGATCTGTTGCTCTTAAATTGCCTGCATCCGATCTCTTGTGTATTAACTGATTTTTGTTTTAACTAAGCATACTGAATGTCCCCTGCTAGTGCACTGTAGTAAGCTTTATGCCATTATGAGTTATGAGTTATGAATTGAACCCTCCTGATTGGACACCAAACACCAAAACTTCTGAAAATGGCATATTTTCAGGCCCCGTGGTTTTAAGAAACCTTTCTCTCTTGTGTCATGAAATATGCCTTCAAATACAGTACAGTTATGATTTAATACTTAATTCACTTAACATTTAAGCATTATGCAGACACTTTTCTCTAAAGCAACTTACAAGAGGGGGATTAACAATCAAGTGTGTAGTTCCTCTGGGAATCAAACCCAGGACTTTCTGCTCTCTTCCTTGCTTCCATGGTAGACGTGCTAACTGCTACACCAGGGAACCAGTCTTTAAAAAGGTCTGACTCTTTGCACGACTGAAAAATTATGTTGAGTAATAAATTTGAAATGCTGTTTATTACAACGATATTTATACAAATGAAATTATACTTAATGCCTGCATTCATTTGTGTATTTTTTGTTTTTATAAAACGTTTTCACGACTTTTCATAGTACTTGAGGAAAGAAAACAAATGTCTACAGAACTACTATCACTACAACATCATTGTGAAATGTGTCACCTATATTGTTAAAATTAATAATGCATCTTCAAACTTATGAATGGACTTACGTTTCACCTTCCGGCTGCTCTGGGTCTGCTACCCTTCCATTGTTCTGGGTCTCCCGAAGGTATTGCTGCTCCCGCTGCTTGTTCTTCATTCCAACACACAAGGAGAGCAACAGCATGACCACCCCAGAACCAACCAGAACAAAGGCAACGGAGGATGCTTTGTTTTTTCTGCTGTCAGTGTTGCTTTCCTCTTCTGATACACTGCTGTTGTTGGCTACATTTGCAGGTACTGCGCTCCATACGATCATCACAATTCCAAGCGCAATGAGCCCAACCCCTAAAGCACACAGAGCATACTGAGAACCAGAGTTTCCAGTGCTGTTGTGAGTGTTGGTGTTGCCAGTTGTTCTTCTTGCGTTAGAAGGGCTTGTTGCTGTGTCCGCACTGGACCGCATCTTGTTGGTCTCTATACTACAATCAGACTAGCAGCAGGGTGAGGCTTAAAGTCTGTAGAGATAAAGACAGAAGTGGAGTCAGAAAAATAATATACATGGAAAGATAACCTCCTCCAAGACAAACCTTTAGATTCTCCTCTGCCTGGATTATAACCAAATTGAACAGCCCTTCATGCTTCAAAGGTCTAGTACTCCTACCTACCTATTGATTTACAAAATACTCATAACTGCATCCTTTGCAAGTAAATTAAACTGTGATTAATATTTATTGATTTATTGCTTCCATAAACGCGTAACATTTACAGATATATATATAATAACAGACAAGACCTCTGTACATATATCCGTACATATATCCAATATTTCTAAAGTTGTCAGGTTAAGGTACCTGTCCTGTAAAAAAAAACCATATATATAATATATATAAAAACATACCACTAAATTACAGTGTCCAGTTCCTGGAAATTTGTGCATAATAACAGCGCAATTCAGGGAACGCAGCGGAGTGTAAAATTCAGTCAAGCCTCTAAGAACAGGCGTGACCATTGTTATTAAACTACAGCAGCTGACCTGGGCTGTATTGCATCAAACATGCACTACAATCAACGTCATATGTACACTTATATATAGTCACGTTGACTTTCTTTATTTTTTGATTGTTAAAATGATGTATGAGATTGTGGTTCAAATCCCGACCCAATCAGCCCTGGGGTGTATTGACCAAACACCAGAACTCTGCTGTTAAACACTTGGGTATTTCCTGGAGTTCTGATACAGAGAATGATTTTCCTAAAAGGAATACTAAAGAATTAACAATAATATATATTTAATAGAAGACTTCAACTAGGAAAACAACTGCATCTACAGTTAACTTTTGGTAAAATGCCATAACATTGTGACAGTTTGTCTTGTCAGTTGGGGGCGTGAGAAAGCTGGAGAAAAGCCAATAGATGCCAATAGACTAAGTATCTTACAGTAGTTTTATTGTTTTACAGTTAACATTTTGCTGTATACAACTGCAAGGTCATCCCTCCTGTGTACCAGTTTTAATCCTAATGTGATTGGGGTGGAGTAATACTGCTCAGAAGGTCCAATAAACAAATGGTTGAAATAAGAAGAAACACTGTAGTACTGTATACACTCTCTTTGACTAGTGACAGATGCCTCACTGATGTAACAATGTAACAAGGTTGGTATCCAGTCTACAAACACGTCCAGACTTGCAATGAATGACAAAAGGGATTTTAAGCCAGTAAACCTAGCTCCATTTTTGGAATACCTCGCAGACTAGAAATGTATGGAATGACACTGAAGATTCACAATGACAGCTGGACAAAGACAAAATTCTAAAAGTAATACAAACAGAACAGTACAAAACAGTACAGTTGTGCTACTGAAGGGTCTAAAGAGATGTACTGTGTATGATCGTTTGAGCTTGTTTGAGCAGAAGACACTTGTGGTTATCAACACTAAAGTGAATGGACCCTCTATCTCACAACCTGAGTGGGTAACAGTGCATTCTATTTACATTATTCCGACTCCTATCAGGACCCAATGTTCAAAGACAACAAAGACATTTATCTAGTCACACCATCTGTTTGATTACACATGAAATACTACATAACAAGTGTAGTCCATCAACTCGAAAAAGGTCAATACTAAAGGCTCTTTTACAGTTGTTATTCACAGAGTTTCAAATAACAGGCTATCAGCTGATATACCATTCTTGAAAGTGTACTTTCCAGGAACCTGGTCACAATCCTCATCCTCTAAACACTGGTCCCCAGGCTGGCCCATTCATTAGGCATTTAAAAAGATCATTTTTAAAGGTGTGCTCCAAATGTGCTTTTTAAGATGCACTCTTATTAACTGGTTACACTGTGGAAAAGGGAAAAGGAAGGCGTCCATCATTTACTCTGCATGTCTCTGATATACTCGTACAGTTAGCTTGTCCAACCTATATTTTGGATTGAATATCAATGGATGCAAGAGTTGTGTTGGAGCCCTGCTGGATAGTTGGCGATACTACAGTCTGGGTGGGCTTCAAATGTTTTGAACTCAACAGAGTACAAACCAATTATGTTCGTCGTGACTTTGGTTGAATATGTTTGTTTTGTTTTGAATAAAACGAGTTTTAAACAAACAAACTAAATTAAGAAAAAAAGGCAAGAGGACACGCGGCGTTGTTTTTAAACGTATTTCCTCAGCGGTTAACAAAAAAAAAAAAAAAGACTTCTAGAAACACCGCTCTCAGTTAACTGACCACAGCAGTTCACTACACTGTGCACTTTATACAGCCTACAATTGTCATAGTTAACGTTTTCCTTGAGTTACATGCATTATCCGTGACATTATGTCACGTGCGTATGCATTATCTAAAGGAAAACTACTTCTAAAGGACTTCCCAATGCACATATACTGTTAGGAAACACTCTGTTTAACTTTTTCCGGCCTAACATTTGTTGTGTGTGAGGACATATTTCAGCGAGTGTTACAGCTCACCTCTGCATCGTCTCTGCCCAGCAGTTTGAACTCTTCTTCCTCCTCCTCTGAGCTGAAGGTGTGTGTCTTCACCCACCCTCACACACACTCACGCATGGAGAGAACCTAAGGTATGTGTGTATGTGGCAGGAATAATTCTAAAAATGCGTTGGCAGATAAGAAACTTTCTTGTTTCCTCCCAGATACGGACAGGCCCAGACCGAGAGGAGGGGCAGAGAGACATAGAGAAACAGGGAGTGAGGGTTGAAGGAAGGGGGGTGGCTCAACAGCGCCCACTGTCATTAACCCTGTTAGTGCCGGACTACTTCTAAAATACCGAGTAAATGTGAAGTGGATGGGTGTTTTATAAATAACGAATCTTGAAATAAAGTTATTGAAAGTTATAGTATGTCTGTGACGGTGTTTAATCTTTTAAAAAAACAAATAAGACATTTCTTCTGGTTGATAGAGGGTAGTTTTGTCAGAATGACAGTGTTTAAAATAAGGTTTAGTGTTGTTTTGAAGCAAGGTGAAAATGATATAGGGTTTGAAACGCAACAGTAGTCTCAATTTCAAAATTAGGGCTTTGTTAGACACTTTGTTACTCATGCTAAATTTCTGCCATTGTAAAATAAAACCTTCAGTGGGCAGTAATGCAACTCAAAGGATTCAAGATACATATCAAACCAGTAGAAGGAGAAACCAGAGTATGTTGAGATTTTAAACCTGGTTGCTAGAAGGAAAAACATGTAAATAAAATGTGTTTGTTTGTTTTTTGTTTTTCATGAATTTAGCATTGTATGAGCTAGATTTAGGTCAGGGTTGGACAAAATCTTATTTTTGTTTCTTATTCACTCTGGCTTAACATGGTGTTTTCATGAGTGTTCACTTTGGGGTTGGGATCCAGGTCTTGTGTATGTTGTTTTTGTGAGTCACCACAAATTCCTTGCAGCCACTTGATTGTTGTAATTCCAGACATTACTTAGTTTAGATGAGGGATGGGGTTAACCCATTGACAGTACTTCCATGTTTCCAAGAATATGCTTGTAGTGAAGTTTACAGACCAGCAGGGGTCTAATTTTGAGAATTAGTCCTCATTCACTTTGTGCGTAGTTTGTCTTTATGACAATGCCGCCTGTACAAATGACATGTGACTTTTTTAGTGGGCACTTTAACATGTGTGTTTGCTTAATATTTTCACACAAAAACCAAATGAGTCAGTAAATCATAAATCAGTCATCTGAGATGAGATTTCTACTTCCTCTTTGTGTTTTTACCGTCTACCTTCTGTCACTCCTTTAAAGCTCTTTGGACAGAACCAACCTTGAAGACCAACCCTTCCAGTTTCACAACAAAGACACTTTGTGTCAATAACGTGTTTAGAAATATAACGTATATGGTTAGAATTTTTTAGATGTTTGTATCAAGTCATACAGACTAAACATCAAAAATGGGGTCTACCTGCTCCACTTCTTTTCCATTTGTAGATTAGCTTGTTACAATGAGGACTCCAAAATAATGAATAACCAGGCACTAGTTTTTGCTGTATTGTTCCCTGTAGGTGAGGCCGTTCTGTTGTTGGACTCTTGGGAGGCGTTCTTCCTCTTAGGCATAGGCCTGGTTCCTCTGTTTTACTGCAGATGCAGTCACAAGCACATGCACCCCCACACCGGGGAAACAAACACAGAAGGCTGATTACATCTGCTAGTCTGGACTGAACTGTCACTAACAGCCTGTGATCAAATTAAAACAAACCATGGGTCACCACAGAAGAACAATGTTGCCGTAAGACACAGATAAATTGTATTTTTATTTCCTGAAAGGCTGCCTGTAGTTGTAGCATGTTAGCTTAGCTAAGAAAACACTGGCTTTTCTCACATGTCACATTCAATTTAGGAACAATTTGTTTACTAAATTTATAGCTTTACTTTATAGCATTTTTACTTTATAGCATTTTTGCTAATCTGGTGGATATTTGTTTTGTTTAACTTTTATCTACATTCTGAACTAATGCTTACCCTTTTTAAAACTATCATTTAGCTACAGTATGGGGTATTTCTTGTCTGGATGAGTTACTTTAACCACAAGACCAAAGGAATGCTGGTTTGAATCCCAGCACTGGCAGGTTGTGGGTCATTGAGGAAACGTCCAGCATCTCAGGAGTCCACTGCTCATGTTCAACAAATGAATTAAATACAGAAAACAAAGTCAGTTTTGTTCATATGAACGGTGACTAACAAAGCTGGTTTCTCTCCTTTAAGAAAAGCCTTTTTTAATAGTCAATTTAACATCTTAGTTAAATCATCTATCAAAAGTCTATGTTTTTCCTACTAATGTGAGCTTATAATTTTTTTGGCTAGTGTAATCTATTGTTTGTCAGTTGTTTTGTTTAAACATTATTAACCATTTTATTCAATTTATGTAACTATCTTTTTTCTTTTTTTTATCTTTTGACTAACATTCAATAAGGGTAAACATTAGACAGTTTTTCTCATGTAATTTTTTTGTATCAGTTTCTTTCATAAACCCAGCATTCTGTTGTTCCGTCACTGTTCCTTGACATTTACAATCGGGGTTTGTGGTGGTGTCATAGTTTTAACATGAACATCTTATATCATAGCACCTAGCAGACATTTCCTTACTCCTCCTGATTTCCTAGATGTAATAACCACACATCTGTCACACTTGTACATTTACAGAAAATGCCCTCAGTGTATTGACTGTATTGTTTTATATAACTGTGGGATGATGTCCAGATAAGATGTTAGTGAGTTACAACACCGGCCGTCTGATCCCTTGCTGTGTCACCCTGATCTTGCTACAATCACTGAGTCACAGTATGGAAGTTGCAACATGTCGTGTTTCAACAAAAAGCTTTGTCAACATGACCAGAAAGAATCAAACACTGGATGTAGGTGACTGTTGATAGACATGTCATGTTGGAGTCACAAATGCATGCATTATTTTGCGTTATATTATTGAACTTGAATATTGACTGTGCTTTGCCCCTTACCCTCCGTCTACATTAACGTAACACCAACAACAGTTCTTTGTTAAATGCAATTGTATCTTTATTTACAGTCACATTCTAGGTCTCACACAGCTTCATCCACTTAAGACTGTCCAAATAATCTCCCCCATATATTGCACTGTATAAAACGTTGAGTGAACCTATGTTTAGACACAACATTGTGCATGTGCAGGAGGAAACACACACCATGAGCCTAGCTTAGCAATGGAGTTAAGATTCACTTCAAGTTTTTGCTCTCAGCTACCTTGACCCGTTCTTGTAAAAGCAGCTAAAGAGTTAAAAAAATGTAAGCAGCACAGATAATAAAACTTTTGTTTCCCTTTTCATTTTCATCCAGTGTTTTTAAAAAAAATCTTTTTCTCTAAGAGAAACTGACCGAAGAGTAACAACTAGTAAACGAAAACAAGCGACAGAAAAACATTCAACTTCTTCTGAGTCCAAACTAGACGCCACAGTCCTTTGGACGTCCACCTTGTTGAGCTTATTCAGAATCTTATCTCTCTAACCAAAGTGCAACTGTTTCTTTAACGACTTTTTCTTTTAGAAATAACACAAGTATAATAATCTGAAATTATTGAACGCTGACGTAGCTGCGACAAAGCTGAGGTCTGGGGTCGCCCTCTGATCACATCTCTCTCACACGTTGGTGACTTCGATGCTGTTGTAACTGTGGATCGGACTCCTCTCTGTTCTGATTGGACTCTGGGATTCTGTTTGGTCACCAACCTCCCGAGGCAGAGACCCGTAGCTGCTGTGGCAACTTAAGTCCCGCCCACTGGTTGCTTTAGGGCTTAGTCCAGTCGGAGGCTGAACAAAACCAAAGAATATATTAAGTTCAAAATCATGGAATGAAGACAGATGTCCCCATCGGACCAGAGTTACTGGAGACTCTTCTCACCTTCATACTCCTTCGTCTCACGGAGCCTTCATCATCAGTCAGTCGACCAGCACAGCTTGACTGTCTGCTAAAGGAGTTCACACGGAGCAGTATTGGTGGCGATCCAAGGCCCAACTTCTCATATTCCTGTTTGACTTCTGCCCTGCAGAAAGTAATGATTGACATCAGGCAGTGGTTTGTTCTGCCACGCCCACACGGACATGTTCACAGCGATTGATTCAAATCTCCACTAAACATTATTTTTAACACTCTAATTCCTACAAACTACTACAAAATACATTTACGTATCAGTGCAATTTCACCACTCAAGCACAATTAAAGAAGCAAATGTCATGGTCCGGAGGCCCTACATTAGGAACCACTGATCTATGATTAATTAGGAAATTCAATAGGAAGGGCTTTTTAACTGCCCTTGTAATATTTAAGATTTACAAAAATATTTTAAAAAAATCACAAATAGTGTATGGTTATAGATATAAAATAAAAGAATACACTCTCAGCCTGTCTTTTATTTTATGAAAGCGCTCCCTTTTACCTGGCGGGGCCGATCAGAGATTTCATCTCCTCAACAAGGTGACGTCGAACCATGTGCTTGTTGCTGTGGATTCCCAGGGCTGATGCCATGGTATCAGTGTCAAACACCGGGTCCAGCACCATGGCAGCTCCATGGACTCCACTGTGAACTAGATTTTCTGCAAACTCCTGCACGAGCGGTTGAAAAACAGAACAAGAAAGAGTTTTTTATATTATTGAAAATCAAATTGTTTGAATCAAAGACAGGTGACAGAATTGTGAATTTCAGTGTCAACGTTAACTCAGTGAAGATTAGAAAAAAAAAAAGCCTTATCTTTGTACAGCCTGAACATGACAGCGCCTAATAAAGAAAATATTGTGCAGTGCTCAGGGAGAAAACAATGCTGAGGAGAAGCATCACCTCAGCTGGCTGTAATCTGAACGGCCTTGTAATCACTCAGGAGCGGTTTACAAGTACATTAACAAGGGTTCTCTATCACACAGTAGGCCTGCAGAGTGCTGAGTAAACACAAGAGACACCCTGCCTTCCACACAACATGGTGGTAGTACATGTTTATCGCCTTCACAAAACTGCGTACTCTACACTTTTTTTTGCTTCACTGTGCTGCACATCTCATTATTGTTTGTGTCCATTTTGCATCTCTCTACTCCCACCTTCAGGTCAATGTCTTTGATCCATTTGATGACCCGGTGAGAGGTCCATACCAGTGGATCCACATTCTGGTGTTCGCACTGAATCCGTCGAGCCTGCAGTGCCTGGGAAACATTTTCACACAGAGGTTGTATTTATACCCAGCTCTCTGCTGTCACCCCTGTGTTACAGGGGGCTGCGGTTTCCACACTTACTGTACCTCCTTATCAAAGTTGAGTAGGTGCAGCAGTTCGATGCCCAGCAGCAGGCTGGCCTGATGAGGTTTTTTGACGTTCAGGTGACGTTCCATATCACGGCGGCTGAGGCAGTTCAGCATTCGTCCGTCCACCAGGTGGGTGTGAAAGGCCTGGGAGTACTGAGGCAGACCCACATCACTCAACCAGGCCTTGGCCACCCAGTGGTGGTCCATGTCTGCGGCCTTGGATAGCCTGTAAGCACAAAGATAAAAATACCTGAAATATTCCAGCGTCGCAAAACAAGAATGTAAAAAAAAAAACAAACAAAAAAAAACACTTATATTTAAAATCCAGTATGTTTGAATATTCATTGCTGCTGTTTGAAATATATTTTTATAGTTGTTTTTGCTTAAACTGCTTTAAAACCATGGCATCATTTATTTATTTTAATCTTTGTGACCTTTCTGCCTGTAATCTTACTAATTTCTGCCATATCATTTACTGATTCCTGAATTATTGTACTGAACACAGTCCAACCCAGACACTAACACTGGCACCCAGACAGGTTTTATGTGGTCTGTGATATTTTTATTACCTGCTATCAGGAAAGAGCTGTAAACTTTTTTTTTCCAAGGACTTTTTTTTCTTTACTACAGTTTATTATTACAGTTTGGCATTTTTCCAATATTTATTTTGTAGAACTCATTTTTCACTTTAATCTTGGGAATATTACGGGAAGTCTTATACTCTTTATCTACGTCTTTTCAGCTTGTCCTATTTAATTGTTTATCCATTTATTTGTTAATCCAGTTTTTAATTAAGAACAAACAAACAAACAAACTGCTACACCGTGATATTCATATCACAGTATCACATTTCCCATGATTTCAATTTGGCCTGTGTGGCATTACATTTGGTAACCGCCTTTTTTTCGACATTTTGATGCAGTTCTTCAAAACTACCGACAGATGGCCCTCTTAAACCTCCCCGCTAGACAGAGTTTAGTTGCCCAAACTCCTGCATCCTGTTCTCACCCTGCTCCGTTTTCAGCATTCCTGTAATCCTCGATGGCCAGACGTAGTTTCCTACGATGCATCAAGCTGCTGACACCTAAACCCAGCTGGAGGTCTTCATCAGTCAGTCCCAGTAAGACCTGAAACAACAGTTCCAGTGACACACCATCAAAAAGTTCCAAGAAGGTATTCTGCAGCCTTATCATCTCATTGGTTGCACATTTACCTTTCCACTCTTCACGTTTTCTGAGCAGCTACGGATATACATGGGCATCGCCATGACAACCTCCAGCCAGGCCTGCACCGTGCCAGCCCTCCACTGAGACATGGGGGTAGTCCTGGCCAGCTCCACCTGCTGCAGGCGGTCAAGCTGATCCTCCAAGCCGTCCGACAGACTGAGGCGGACGGGGCTGCATATGCTGTTGGAGTCTGGGTGGTTGAACAAAGATGGGGAGAGAGGAGAGCAGGGTGGGGGTGAGGGGGGGGTGATGTGAGGGACGTGGTTAAGGAGGGCAGATGTAGCAGCAGAGAGAAATTAAAAAGGGCAAAAAGAGGGCAAAACAAGTAGGCTACGATAAAACAAATGTCAAACTAAGACTTTGTCTTGAAACCAAAATAACTCATGAATTGCATTTTTCCAAATTATAAAAAAAAGCTAGTGATGACGACAGTGCAGTGCAGAACTGCAGTTTCATTAAGGAAATCCTCTGAATGGCCTGTTGCCTGAGACGCTGTGATAACGTGATTCATCCGTATAATGAGATAAAAATAAAAGGCCTGCTATTTGAAAAAAAAAAAGAGTCTCTTTATTGTGAAGGATCGACCATAAAATCTGCTTCACGGCGCTGTTTCAGCGTTATTAAACTCTTCCTTAAACCAGTAAGTGCTTTTCATGCCGGCATGTTGCCATTAAATAGTGTTAAATATTTGCCGTTTACATTTTCCTCAGTATTTATGGCACCGGAGGAATCAGGCCAAGAAAATACTGGCAACACGGGTTCTTTCGCTCTGATGCAATCCTCAGTTCTTACCAGATGGTGGCAGTATATTACCAGTTTTGCACCTGCATTGTGTTTAAGGTTGGGTGTGACTGTACAAGTCGATAGACATTATTTGCATTAAATACTAGGCCTTGTTTTGTGAAATAACAATAAGATAGAAACGATCTTCTCCTACAGTATAAATGTATTTGATTGGTTGGTTTTACGTTTGAATTTATTCAAGGGTTGATCAAATTAACCGCCATTATTATACAGTATATTATATATTTAGTAATTGATGCATGTACATGCTGGCCAAGGAGAGGAGCGTAAACCGGCTTTAACTTCCCCCTCCCTCCTTTCTGCCCTCCAGAAACCAATTTATATTAAGTCAGGTTTGGTCTCGTGCCAGAAATCCACTCTTTAATGAACTGTGGGTACAAGGTCTCTTTGGAAAGGTCACATGAGGAAGTGAAAACTGAATGTACGACCTCCAGCTTAGTGTTGCCGACTGCACTTTCTCTGACCTCAGAGTTACATCATCTTGTCTCCCCCATATTCCATCGGATGTGTTTAGGTTGCATTTAGGTTGCGGTTAGCGCAGCATTTAGCTGCGTCTCGACTGCGGCTCGCCGAACTACAACCGACTGGATGGCAAGTTTACTTTTGACAAATGCTGCTTCAATCTAAACAGATCAGATCGCACCATAAAGAAAACAGTTTTAGCACACGATGTAGACAGATCAGATCGCACCATAAAGAAAACGGTTTTAGCACACGATGTAAGGTGAACATGACAATACACAAACATTAGCTAATTAGCGCAAAAATGGGTTCGTCAGGTCTAAGATCCAATGTATCTAAAAAATAACCCTAAATTAGCTGAATACTAATGATATAATGTCTTAATATGTATACACAAATACAGACAATGCAAACAAGAAGTGTTTTCAGTTAGCAGGAAAACAGCATTAATAAAAAAGCTAACAAAAACGTATCCCAAGGCCAAGCTAATTATTGAACAAGGTTGACTAAAGTTTAGCCTTGATATGTAGCTTAAAGGCGAAAAGCATCAGCCTGAAATGCCATCCTTCCATCCATTTTCATCCGCTTATCCGTTACCGGGTCGCGGGGGCAGCAGTCACCACCCAAATCACACTGCACCGTACCAACCCCCCCAAACCTTCCTGCAGGTGGTGAGTCCACTGGAAGGTACCCAGCCTGAAATGGTTGACAAATTCCAAGTTATTTTAGGAATAGCTAAAGTAAGCAAAGGATTGAGCACAATCAGGGAACAGGAAGCTAAGACGATAAACAAATGCTGTAAGGATGGAAAGAAAAATAAACTGAATAGTGTTTGCGTTTGGGTTGTCGGAATACTGATAAACTGTTGTCATGCTCTGTAGTGTCAATTATCTTTCTGCAGGCATTCACACATTCAGTGACAAAATTGGGGGTCAGGAGGGCTCTCTGGGTCCTGGGCCCCTGCACTATGGGATACTTCCATAAAGGACGTCTGGTAGAAGGATGCGGTTGAAGTTATATATATATATATATATAAAAAACAGAAAAATAATGGATATATTACTTCATTGATAATTGTGCACAAATATTGAAGTTTGCTGGTGAACAACTTGAAGAAGGGCTCAGTGTTGTTGTGAGATGTCACACAGTTAGAACACATCTGCAAACACAGCTCGTTCCTACTGAAAATTAAACTGGGGTCACTTGGTGAGATCGATACTTCTCAGGTCACTGGACTGTGTCAGATGGAGGTCAGACAAAAGGGGAATTGTTAGAGGTCAGGGGTCAGAGCAAGGCAGAACATCATCGACACCAAGTGCTGACACAAACATATGAGTCGTGGACCAATGTTTTGACATGGCGTCCTCCCCCCAGATTCATTTGAGTTTTTATTGATTTTAATAAAACTCCAAAAACTTGTGTTTAATGAGGATCATAAAGCGGAGAAAGGAGGCCATGGTGATGTTCTTTAGGATGAAGTCCACAGGTTAATAGAAACCCTCAGAATGAAGGCCACAATTAAGGATTAGAGCACAACAGACGCAGACACGGAACACACAAAAAGAGCAAACAGTTTTGTTAAAATGAAATATTACTTATTTTATTTTAAAATAATCATAATCTCATTTCCTCTATTCTTCTCTTTTAACTTCTTCTCAGGGTAATTTTGTTGCCATGCCTTTAAAGGTTTGCTACTGTAGCAACTTCTAAACATCTCAGGACCCCAGCAGTGGAGGTCCCCCAACGAGGCCTACATCCTTGACATTAAATAAAACTCTGTTATAATAATAATAATAATAATTGTCCATCCATAATTAAAAATAATAATCCATAATTTCATTTCTGTAACATTTTCTACTTTACAAAAAGCAAAATCATCTGTGGAAAAATAATGAAAGGCAAAACAAAGACACTGCGGCTCAAAAGATAAAGTCACACAATATTTTTCCATTTGATATGTTTTTGTTTTTTTTTCCCCACCAGCACGGGGGGCATAGGATTTGTTACATGAAAAAATAAAAGTAGCCTTAGATTTTTGTACAAGTCATGTTGTTGCTATGCATAAAATAAATCTGTCATGACAGTTATTCTCAACCAAAACCTTCAATCCCACGTTGAGGACGTTGCAGGGGTTAAATGATGATCCCCTCACTGACAGAGACGCGACTGATGAGCAGTGTGGTTAAATACAGCTTCAGTGCAGTCTGTGACCTCATGGTGTTTTAGGTGAGACTGATGAAAATCCCAGTGTTACTTTAATAACGAGCAGAGAGAAAAGAGTTCCTGGGGCAGCAGGGCAGACTGTGGCTCGGTCCAACGCATGACTGAAAATAATCCAATGTCTTTAGTTATTCTTTTGCTTGAAGAAATGCTATTAACCTTTGGCACAAAGTTAATTGGGTTTTTTTTTTTTTTTTGCAGCAATGGCTTGAACCGGCACTTTGTTGTTATAATAGTTGACTGATCGTCTGCTCCCTGATCCAATATGACACTTTGATTTTTTGATCTAGATTTGGAGAAATATTAATAACCCTTTTTATTAAATATGTTGGTGTAATTGATGTTCTTTTGTCGTAAATATTTTTGAAAATCAAAGCTTCCTTTTGGAATATGAGCTTGGTTTGTTTATATTATTTCTTTTCTTAAATTCTTTGTATAAATTGTGCAGAAAAAGAGTTTTAAAAATATTTTTTCTAAAGAGAGAAGCAGGTGAACCATGATGAGCAGATCACATTTGAATACATCAGCTGTCACATTAAAGTGCAGAACTGAGATAAGTATCCTGGTCCACATACAGTTGTACTGCATTTTTTAAACTTAATTACTACATTTTTTTCTTGTCTCAATCACCCGGTTAGATTTGTTGTTGTTTCTTCATGACTTTTGGTTTATTTAGTTCAACACAACAACAGCTGCTCAGTGTTGACCTTGATGCTTTTTGCTCATTCTCCAAGTTACGTTTAAAACGTCTCATAAAAATAGTTTTATGGAATTGCAGTTTTAGATTAGCAGTAATATTACAGTGTGTCACATACATAACTAATCAATCAAAGTATTAATATACGCTCTAAAATGTATACTTTTAGGTTGGAAGAATTCAAATCTGGATCAAGTTCTATGTGTGAACTGGAACTTTAAGGCCTGTCTGTTACACCTGTTTATTTTCATCTACCTTTGATCATTTCAACAGATGGAAAAAGCATTTTTGACATGACTTGTTTTGTCCTGTGATGTTGTCCAAACGCAAGCCTTATTACATCAAAGTTATCATTGGTGGAGATTTAAAGGAAAGAGTCTGCATGTTGCCCACAGGAAACTGTTCTCATCATGGCAGTGAGGGGGGGTTGGACCGAGCAGGGTGACCAACAGGGGGAGTTTAAGTTAAAAGGTAGCAGGAGGAGGTGGGGAATACATGTCCAAAATAACAAACAAGGCATTCAGGACGAGGAGACATTTACACGCACAAAGTGCACATCGATTGTTATTTACAAGTACAGCAGTCCTTCAAGTTTCCAGTTGAGTGAAAACAAAAACAAAACTCCAAATGTAAAGAACTTTTTTTTTTTTTTTTTAAGATTCCATAACAGGGCTGTTTTGAGAGGGCTGATACGACAGGACATCCACGACCGCCGGCCGCCGCGCCACACTGTTCACTTTATTTACACACAATTCACTCTTTAAGGTTTTTACACTTCCACAGAGACGTACATACACACATACACACACACACACATGCACACTCTCTCACACACATACCTGCGTCTGTATGCATGCATGTGAGACTGCAGACAGGCACTCACAATGTTACAGCTGTACACTCAAACACACACACACACACACACACAGCCATCCTCCTTTACACTTGCTGGGATTCAACCCCATTCTGTGTTCTGATCACTGGACACACGTCTCTCTGGGCGTTCACCCGGGCGTGTGTGCTTTACCAGTCTGCATCCTCCTCAATGTAATAATCAGGTGTTGATGTACCATCAAACAAGCCAGGGTCCAGAGACTTTCGCTGCTTTCCTCGGGCGAAGACACGTGACAGGGAACCCAATCCTATCTTCTCCTTCTTCTTCTTACGCTTCCCGTCCTCCAGATCTTCTAGGGACTGAAGGGAGACAAGGAGAGGAAGTAAAGGAGGGAGGGATAGAGGAGAGGGAAACAGAAGATGAAGAGATCAGAGAGAGTACAGACACGACGGAGCAGAAAGGTCAGTGCAGGAGTGAGGAGAAGACGATCAAGAACAGGGAAAGACAAGAGATCAGAATAAAAAACAGGGGAGTTATTCTTTGTCTCTCGACCATCTCTCATCATAGACCGTATATAAGACATGGACAGAGCTATCCTAGCTCCTCGGTAAAGCACAGAAAAAGATCGCGCACTGGAATTCATTTAATTTCCTGTTGAAATGTGAGTGGAAATGTATTGTTGTTCTTCTTGTAAGATCTTCCTGTGAAATATTTGTCTGTCATTGTCACAAACAAACAAACGATCTCACTGAAACTGTTCTATTACCAACGTAATGCTTATCGAAATTAAATCACACGGCAAGAATGTGAATGTTTAGGAGCACGTTAAAACCGTTTTGATGATATTATACTGTATTATATTGCATTGTATTATCAAATAATCCTGATTAATCATGATTATTTGAGATGTAGCAACATTCCTAAATATGACATGAAAATGTTTTCTTTTGTATATTGTTGGAACAGTAAGAAAGTGTGTATTGTTTTACACATGCTGTTATTTGTGACTATTCCAAATGATGGATTGATTATGGAAAATTATGCAAAACTATCTCTCAGACTTTGTCTATAGAGTTGGTCAACACTGGCCTGGACTGTAAAACATGTTGACAGTTTCAACTTTAAAAACTTGTCCTCAACCGTTGTCCTCAACAGTAAAGATTGATCTGCGGTCCCTGGCACTCTAACAGACAGTTGTCAAAGATCAGTCAGTCTGTCAGCTGTAGACCAGCTCAGTGCTGCTGACTCAAGCACTTCATCTGACCTGAAGTCGAAGCCTCTGCTAATGCACTGTCAGTGTTGAGATCCCATTTGAAACTAAAGGTGATTCAGTTAAACTCAGACCGGCGACCAGACAACTGTGTCCATGTCTTATATAAAGTCTATGAAGTTGTTTTCATCTTAATCCAGGTTGCAGCTGCAGCACAACAGAGTGTGTGGACCAAACACAAACGCAGCCATAATGATGGTGGACAGAAAACAGCAGCAGCAGCAGCAGCAGCACAGCTGGCAGTTACCACAGAGGGGATGATTACTTGGGAGGGGGGGCAGTGGTGGGCAGCTCTTACATTGCAGAGGGAGTGAGTCCGGTGGCGAGGAGAGTTGATGTCACTGGGTGTGGACGAGCGGTCTCCCTCCACCGCTGAGGCATCGGAGATGATGGAGGGCTGACGTGAGTGGCATGGGCTCACCCGCACAGCAGCCACTAAATGGGATGAGAAGTGAAAAATGAAAAGGGCTTCTTGGGGGCGGTGTTATGGGGACCAAATGTAGCAAACAACAAATATCTGGTTAGGATTTGTTTTAAACGGCCCTGCACTAAAAGCCTCAAATTATTTGCAATCATCTGCAGTTGCCAAGCAACTGTGAAAACAGCTTTGCAGAGGTTGACTGGATGTGTGTGAGATGACACACACCGATGAGGCGGATACGTACAGTTCAGCCAATTTCAGGGCTGTTTGGGAGGACTGACATCCATCCCTTGTTTTTTTCTTCCTCATATGACACCAATCCCTGCAGGCCTGCTTCAGCCTGTTGAATCTCCAAACATGAGGCCATTGCTCTTTGAAACATTTTTTTTTCGCCCTCTCTAACCCCATTCTCTCAGCCCCATCTCTGCAATCAAAGTGATCAAATCTGAGGGGTCATTTTTTATCACCCAGTAACTTTAAATTCTCAAATTCCTGCTTATAAACTTCACTGCTTCAACAACAGGTCTCTCAGGTTATGCTGCAGGAAATGACCACAACGCAGCTACAAATGAGGAATTTCACAAACATAACCAACATTATTGGCTGAAATACAGCCCTAAACTTATACAGAGCCAATCCAGTTGTTGGTTTGTCTCCAGGCCTTTTAGTTAAACCAGTACTTAAAGGTTTTCACTTTGATTCCATATAAAATAAAAAAAATATTTATTAGTATTTTTTTATCTCATACACACTTTTTATCAGTTTTTAGAATTTACATGGTTCAATCAAAATAACAATTAACTGACCTGCACTAATAGAGTGAAAATCTGAAAGAGAATACACGACATATTGGTTGAATGACCTTACTGATTGAGGGCAACCTCCCAAAAAGACAATGATTAGAAAATGAAGTCTTCCCTGAACCTAATGTTTTAGGTTTTGGTGCCTGTGTATAAACGGTGTAGCCTCCTTCCTTTGTAGAAACATTTGAAACTGTGTAACTCATGAGTCAGCAGGCGTAAAAAGCCACCATCTGGAATAATTAAATAATTTAAAAAAAAAAAAGCGGACTTTCAAAAAACAACTAAAAAAAAAAAAACGACTTTCAAAAAAACAAAACAGATGTAAAAAAAGACAAAAATGGTTCCACTTTCACTTCTATAAAAAGCGCGTGAAATGTCACAAACCACAGGGTCATGAGGGACAGATCATGTGACACAGAGCAGATGGCAGGAGCTGACTGAATGAAGAGCATAAAAAAAACAACTGTGTCGAAGCCGGTTATCTTAAAGGGGACATACTATGATGTTTTCAAATTAATGCAAATGAATAGAATTACTTGTTACTAAAGGAAATGATTAGTAACACGCTTTGGTCAAAAATTCCAAAAGGACTGGCCGCAGCTGGATTCTTTCCACAACAGTTTGACAGCCAGTGGCTTCATGTTACTAGGCAGAATCAGAATCAATACAAGGAAAAAGTCGAGAGTCAAGAATGAACATGGAGGTTTCATCCTGACTTTTATGCTAATATGTAACCTGACTTAGCTTTAGCAATGTGCTAAATGAGCAGCTGTGTTCAGCTTTTGAGTTACAGTCTCGAGTTAAGCACATTCTCAGACAGGTATTGTAGGAGAGGTGGTACAGGAGAACCTCCTCAGTTCAGAGGGTAAAATTAGAACTCCTCGTTTTGAGACACATTCAGATTTTGTCAGATTAACAAAAAAAAACCCAAAAACACTTATTTGTTGAAACTCTCACTTTTGTAGAAGCAGATACTCCAGATATAAAGAATTATGTCCACCACAACTCTGACTGAGTCCACCTGGCATAATATGTCCCCTGGGAAGGATGTGCTGTGTCCTCGTCACCCTACCTTGTCGATCAGTGGGATGTCCCGCGTGGACATACAGCGTCTGCTGACTCTGTCTGATGGCGGCAGTCAGAGGAAGGTCAGCCTGCATCACCCACTCCTGGTTGTTGCCATTGACAACCGTCTCCGTGGGCATGGCCAGAGAGTGGCGCTTGGGTACGTCCTTGGTTAGGGTGGCAAGAGACTGCTTGGCCTTAAGAAATAAAAACACACGTAAGTAAAAATCAGGCTCCATCCATCAAGATAAATAAATTCTCAAAAAAAAAAACTTTTGTGTGAGTGTGTGTGTGTGTGTGTGCAAACATGTTAAGTGAGACTCTGAGCATGTGCATGTATGTCAGTTCTCCCCTGGGCTCCTCATAAAAAATGCAGCTGTGTTCATGTGAGTCTTTTGTTGTGTAAAATCTGTCTACAGCTCCGGGGAACAGAGGAGAAAAAGACGAAGAATATTAGGCCCAGAATATCTGGAGGAAGTGTTTGGTGGGGTTTTTTTTGGCAGTTGAGGGTCAGCAGGATAAAAAAGAGAAGCAAGGAGAAATAAGGCTATTTTTGTACATTTTTATCTTTCATTTAAAAAAAACAAAAAAAAAAAACAAACAAAAAAAAAAATTTACATTATAAAACAGATTTACTCCAAAGAACAATGAGCCCCTGCAGCCTGGGGAGATCTGTCAGTGTTTGTGTGTTTTATGTCTCTGTCATAAGGGTGTGTATTTTGTTCTGATTAAAACTGTTACATATTTGTTTCTAGAGGGGGCTAAAAAACATTTTCATCATGTTTTCATGCCAGGCACCGTTAGGCTGTAAAATCCACACCCACCACAGTCAGTTAGTATTATTCCAATCAACTCTAAACAACAAACAACTATCATTCAACCAAACACAGTTTAGAAAAACATAATTAAATCATAAAATGTCAGAATATTAATATTTTTACCCATGCATTTTCCCTCAATCAACACCCTGCAAAAAACACACACCCAAAAAAAAAAAAAAAGAATCACTGCAGAAAACCAGGGGGTCACCAAAGTTAGGGTCACAAGGTCAGGGAGCTCCATCAGGGTTGACTGATGGAGCTCCAAACACGTGCAGCTAAAGAAGGACTTTTCACATATTTATTCAGTCATAAATGCTGTAGGAGAGATTT